TAATCAATATAAAGTAATAAAATATCAAATAATATAATGAGCAAAAAAAAATACGTATCATGTCACACGTGACATCACTCATGTGATTGACTAGAATTATGGAGATAATAATTGACTTATAGGGCATCTATAACTAGCATTATGAATATAATAATTAACTAAACCAGAAGGTGTTCTAATAGGTATGACTCATAACTAGCTCGATATTAGGCCTAGAGGGTCACACACATTTGGTAGGTGTTACAATGAGTAGAGGTTCGGATATGCGATATCCGTTGGAGCCCCTATCTTAATGGATATCTAATAAGCCCATGAATTATTGGATCTTATGGATAATATCCAATAAAAGCTAATGAGAGATTATTGAGTATAGATCCATTAATCCAAGTGACTTGGGTAATTGAATAGAGATCCAGTATCCAATAGGACAGAATTAATTATGGTTAAGTTGACAATGAGCCTATATAAATAGGAAGGAACCAAAGGGGCCATAGGCTAGACCCATTTTAGCTGTCATCTCACCTCCTATACTCCTCTCCTCTCCTCCTCAACTAGCAGCCCCTAGTTAGGGTGTGTGGACAACAAGAAGGGCTAGCCCCTTTTTGATCTCGTGGTGCGCGTGGAAAGGATGATCATGTGGTGATTTAAGGAGCATCTTCATAGCTCCTACCATCTGGATCACTACTAAAGAGGAGGATAATTAATCTTTTTTATTCTCTCCCACAAATCTATAGGATTTCAGGAATATACGATTTCCCTAGGTGACACATATCTCTTCGTACGTGTAGTTTTTCGGTTTTGTGGGTTTTTGCACACCAATCTTCGCACGATGACAAGAAACTATTTTATGTGAAAATATAATATTTTTATTTTCTGTCTTTTCGTTGTGCATATGATGCTACCCCGGATTTCCCAACATCGCCTACCTATGCTCTAACCTGATATTCTACTCTCACATGAAATATATTATCATCAACTTTTACTTTGTTAGAGATGAAGATATAAGATGTAAACTACATGTTTCTTATGTCTATATTTCTGACTAACTAACTAACTCCCTCGTATAATTTCTTACATCGTTGATAGAATTTCAATCTTATGAGAGCATGATAAAAGATCACGATAGAGATAAACATGAAATGTCAACTTTATATTCCTCATATATTTTAATCCTTAATCAATTTATAATTTAAAACATCAATCACTATAAAATATATGAAAATATCTCTTTCTTAAAATTTATATAAATATATACTATCTCAAATGATATCATCATCTTTTTCACGGCTAATAGTTGGAAACGAGAAAGCAACGGAAAGCACTGTCTATGAGAACGTTAGCCGGCATTACCGACATCATGACATAATGTGGGCCAATCCCTAACCAACGTGGCTACACCATATCAATACATTAATACCGAATCGAATCTACAGCGAGTTCATGCAAAACAAGTGATCATATCGGTCTCAAATATAGACTGCACAAAAATAATGCAGTCTTAACATGTGTTGAAGTATGCTTACCGACGAAATAGTTCTGCTGTTCTAATTTCTGACGCACATGCGCAAAGTGACAAGCTGTTCATTCACTGTGGCATTACGTCGAACAGGCATGATCGGCGTGCCTTGTCTTTTCCTCTAGTCCATGGTGTGATTGGTGTGGAGAACGAACTCTTTGTTCCCTGGTCTCTCTTTTTGTGCCTTCCAGACGACGCAATTCATCTTCCTCTTCAGAAGAAAAGATGATGGGAAGTTAGGCTTCGATCACTTGCCCTTCCATCCATGAGAGTAACATGAAGCTCTGAAACGTGGCATACTAAGGAATCAAGTGCAACCTTGAGCTGCTTGGTACCAACTTGCATGGTGAACATTACTTGGCAAGTCTTGGATCCAGACAAAGCTTACAGGGCATGGAGAAAACGAGGAGTGGGATGAGGCAACCTCGCTCCAAATGTCAAAGCAACCGAACTTGGAAGAAGCAAGAGAAGCCAAAGTTCAACAAAAGGAACATGAGAAGCATAAGGGTTTCCTTCACTTCGCACAGTACCCCAATCACCATCAGTTTCTCTCACAGTGTTGCATGCCGATAGCCAAGAATCGTGAAACGAGAGAGGAACCGGTGGAATGGTCCTTCGAATGCTTCATGGCTCTCGTCTCTCCACGTGAACGGCCTCCTGCCTTCTTTCTGACCTACGGAAGCACCAGAGACATGTCTCCTTCCTCATAATCCCACCTGCAAAAGAGGAGCATTTGGAGTTACAAGCAGCAGCTGTAATAATAACAGTGACCCATCTCTCTCTCTCTCTCTCTCTCTCTCTCTCTCATGTAGACGTCACTACTGCTTTCGTCTCTCTTATATAGCCATCACTACTGCTTTCATCTCTTTCACTCCACACTTCCCTGAGTCCAAAACAAACCACAGAGAAGAAAGTTGGGAGAAACGGCAGAGGCCGGAGGCTTACTTCTACTTCTGAGTGATCTCTTCTTTATCCTCTCTTTCTCTCTCTAGGAGTCTGTTGATGAGAAGAGGATGAACTGGTCCAGCTCCGGTGAGGCCTACGTCCTTTCCACGGCGTCCTTTGCTGGGCTGGAAGGCAGCAGCCGAAAGCGTCATCTTTGGGACTGCGAGGCCAGCTCCCACCACCATGACACCAACCACACCTTCTTCCCCAACACTCCCATTCCGGATTGCCGACCTCCTCTCCTCCCCATGAACAACCTCCCCTTCTGTTGGCCACCACCCACCGTGCCGAAGAACGCGGTGGAACCGGTCCCCGGAGGCCAAATCGGACTAAATCTGTGGGGCCACAGGACCTACGTTCCTCCCAGCGACGGCCTCGAGACAGCCCACCTCTTCGCATTAAGGTCGGTAGGTGCGCACTCGCCGAGCCACACGCCGCCTCGCTGCCAGGCTGACGGGTGCAGTGCCGACCTCTCCGGTGCAAAGTACTACCACCGCCGCCACAAGGTGTGCGAGTTCCACTTCAAGGCCGCCGTCGTCGTCGCCCATGGATTGCCCCAGAGGTTCTGCCAGCAATGCAGCAGGTAATATCCGCTTGGTTGCTCTTGTCGGAACAAGAAATCCCACATGACAGCTCGGCATTTACTCCATTCATTGTATTCCGTCCAAAAGATCTCATCTTTCTTCATCTTCTGTTCCCTTTTATTATTTTGTGTTGCTCTATCTTCTTCTGCTTTCCTTCCTTGTGAATCATAGGAATGTAAGCTAGTAAATCACAGTTCTTTTCTGGAGTACGTGCTGCTCTCTCTCTCTCTCTCTTTCTTCTTTGTTGCTTGCATTTGATGCTTCTTTTCCTCATGTTAGAGAGAGAGAGAGAGAGAGAGAGAGAGAGAGAGAGAGAGACCGTAGATGCAAACTGAGTTCAAGTTTTGGTCGTTTGCTGCTCGATCTTCTCCAAAATGGTGGACAGGTTTCATGTGCTAGCTGAGTTTGACGAGGCCAAAAGAAGCTGCAGGAAGAAGCTGGCCGACCACAACCGCAGGAGGAGGAGGAGGAGGAGGAAGTCTCAACTCCCAACAACAATACCCAAAAGTTCCACAGTCAACTCCATCGAAGAGCTCAGTCATCATGCAGACGTCTAAAGAATCTTGCTCGCTTGCTTTGCGCACGATATCCTCTTCTCGTGCTTCGAATCACCTCCATTAACGTCAACGCCGCGGCTACGTCCCAGTTGAAGGTTGGGCAAGTTTTATCTCTTCCAGCAGCTGTCTCTTACTCTGTGTACCGAAGTCAAGAACACTTTGGTGCAGCATCGGAGGAGATGCCGTGACAGCAGCAACAGACCATCTTCTCCCAACAGAACCTTCTTCCACCTTCTCTCACGACTCTCTCTCTCTCTGTGACTTTTGGCGAAAGGTGAACGATGGTTTTAATGATTTCTTCCATTCTAGAGTTCGAGTTTCACGAACGACGTTGTAAGGATCCTTCACAGCATGATTTGTTGACCATCACGTAGCTGATATAATGGACTCACATGCATCACCTCTTCGAAAGCCTCAATCCATGCGACTACTTGTGTATTTTGAACCATATTGAATCCATGAAAACAAAATTCCAAATGACATTTCTTGTCTTCTGAATAAAAGCATAAATTATCATAAAGTAGATTCGATTAAAACAAAAATATAATCGAAATGTATCGTGAATATCCTTTTCTCCATGAGTTACACCTTTTTGATTGAGCCATGCAAAGTGCAGAAGACATTAAGTCGACAAATTATAAATATATATATATATATATATATATATATATATATAGTATTCCCGAGAGGAGCTTCTGCTCCTACGTGCCTCTCGTTGGCGGGGGAGGCTGCGCAGCAGTTGCGCAGCAGTTGCGCAGCTCTATTAAGGTAGAATCCCTCTCTATCCCCCTCATTTCGATCTCATTGCCTTGTCCTGCTTCTTTTGGTTGGGTTTGGAATGCTTTCGTGCCGAATCGCGTTGGTCAACTCGTCAACTCAGTGAAAATGAGATTCTAATTTATTATTGATGAAAAGAATAAAAGAAAAAAATTTATTTAAGAAACTTTATTGAAGTAGCTTTAGCTTAAATATATTAATATGTCCCTCTCCTATTTATACAGATTAGGAAGGAGGATTAAAGATTTCCTCATATAGTTGGGAAAATTTTGTCCGTAAGATGGTACTCTTATCAAGGATACCAATCTTAGATTGATGCAAAGCAAATAATTTACGAGTTAGAGACTTCGTGAGTAGAGCAAGAGTAGATCGCTACTGCTGTTATTGCTGCAGTTGCGACGACGACGACTACAACAGAGGAGAAAGTTACAGTGATACTATAGCAGAGGAGGAAGCTACAGCAAAGGTGCAACAGACGAGAAAGCTGCAACAGAGGTGCAGTAGAGGAGGAAGCTGCAGCAGAAGAGGAAGGTGCAGCTAAAATACATTATTGTCCCTCTCCTATTTATACAGATTAGGAGCGAGAAAGATTTTCCTTAACAGAATAGAGGATTTCTCTCAATAGAATAGAAATATTTCCTTATATAGTTGGGAAAATCTTATCTGCTATCAGTTCTAAGTTAATATGATGTCATCTTAGAAAGCTTGGCAGGTTGAGTTAGAGTAGATAACCTAATA